CTGACCACTACCCGTTGATGGTCAAACTGCGCCCAAAACTTTCCGTCATCAACAATGTACGGTACCGACGCCCGCCACGGTACAACCTAGAGCGACTGAAGCAACCGGATGTCGCCTTAGCATACGCGCAGAATCTCGAGGCAGCGTTGCCAGAGGTGGGCGAGCTCGATGTGCCCCCTCTAGAGGACTGCTGGAGTACAGTATAAGCAGCCATCACCGACGCAGCCGAGAGCATCATCGGGTACGTGGAAAGAAGTGGACGAAATGAATGGTTCGACGAGGAGTGCAGAGCGATTTTGGAGGAGAAGAACGCAGAGCGGGCGGTAATGCTGCAGCATGGAACCCGACAGAACGTGGAACGGTATAAACAGAAGCGGAAACAGCAGACCCGCATCTTTCGGGAGAAAAAACGCCGCCAGGAAGAAGCGGAGTGCGAGGAAATGGAACTGCTGTGCCGTTCCCAAGAAACACGGAAGTTCTACCAGAAGCTCAACGCATCCCGCAACGACTTCGTGCCACGAGCCGAAATGTGCAAGGATAAGGACGGGAGCCTCTTGACGGACGGACGTGAGGTGATTGAAAGGTGGAAGCAGCACTTCGAGGCGCACCTGAATGGCGATGAGAACGTAGGCACGGGAGACCAGCGCAATGGAGGAAACGACTACGTCAGTGCAGCAGAGGACGGAACTGACCCAACTCCCACGCTGAGGGAAGTTAAGGATGCCATTCAGCAGCTCAAAAACAACAAAGCAGCTGGTAAGGATGGTATCGCAGCCAAACTCATCAAGATGGGCCCAGAAAAGTTGGCCACCTGCCTGTATTTAGGCTCACTGGTGACCGCCAGCAGAGAAATTCAAAGACGCATTATGGCAGGGAATCGTGCTTACTTTGGACTCCGGAGGAATAAAATTCGCCGCCGCACGAGGTTGACTCTCTACAAGACGCTGATTAGACCGGGGGTCCTTTACGGCCACGAGACATGGACTATGCTCGTGGAGGACCAACGCGCCCTTGGTGTTTTCGAACGGAAGGTGTTGCGCACCATCTACGGTGGAGTGCAGATGGATGACGGAACGTGAGGAGGTGAATGAACCACGAATTGCATCAGCTGCTGGGAGAACCATCCATCGTATACATTGCAAAAATTGGGGGACTACGGTGGGCTGGGCACGTCGTAAGAATGCCGCACGACGACCCAGTGAAAATGGTTCTAGAAAGCGACCCAACAGGAACAAGAAGAAGAGGCGCGCAACGGGCAAGGTGGATCGACCAAGTAGAAGGTGACCTGCGGACCCTTCGCAGACTACGAGGCTGGCGAACTGTGGCCATGGATCGAGTAGAGTGGAAACGACTTCTTAGGACAGCAGAGGACAACAAGGCCTTAGCCTGATTGGTAAGGTAAGTAAGCCTGCACCGGATGATAGTCAGGATCTGGGAAACAGAACAGCTACCTGAGGAGTGGAAGGAGGGGGTAATCTGCCCCATTCACAAGAAATGCGACCATTTGGTGCAAAACTGCGTAAGGGTTTCGGGTGAACTATCCAGTTCATTCCAATCTCGCCGGGGACTGCGACAAGGTGACGGATGCTCCTGCCTACTCTTCAACATCGCTCTAGAAGGTGTAATGCGAGGAACCGGGCTCAACAAGCCAGGGTACGATTTTCACGAAATCCGGTCGATTTGTGTGCTTTGCGGACGACATGGACATTATCGCAAGAACATTTGGAACGGTGGCAGAACTATACACCCGCCTGAAACACGAAGCAGCAAAGGTCGGACTGGTGGTGAGTGCGTCAAAAACAAAGTACATGCTAGTAGGCGGAAACGAACATGACAGGATTCGTCTAGGAAGTAATGTCACGATAGACGGGGATACTTTCGAGGTAGCGGAGGAATTCGTTTACCGTGGATCCTTAATGACAATGTGAGTCGTGAAATACGAAGGCGCATCATCAGTGGAAGTCGTGCCTACTACGGGCTCCAGAAGAAACTACGGTCAAAAAAGATTCACCCCCGCACCAAATGTACCATGTACAGAACGCTAATAAGACCGGTGGTCCTCTATGGACACGAGACATGGACTATGCTCGAGGAGGACCTGCAAGCACTCGGAGTTTTCGAGCGACGTGTGCTAAGAACGATCTTCGGCGGTGTGCAGGAGAACGGTGAGTGGCGACGAAGAATGAACCACGAGCTCGCTGCACTCTACGGCGAACCCAGCATCCAGAAGGTGGCCAAAGCCGGAAGGATGCGGTGGGCAGGGCATGTTGCAATAATGCCGGACAACAACCCGGTAAAGTTGGTGTTCGCTACTGATCCGGTTGGCACAAGAAGGCGTGGAGCGCAGAGAGCACGATCATTTATTAGTATGTTTTTGTGTCAGTGTTTCGAATATATGACAGCTGCGGTTGTGTCTTCTTCTTGTATCTGAAACTTCATTCGAGCAGATAAAATGACGTTTACTACCACTCGAACTTTGAAATGGAACATTATTTTAAGATTTTTTCTTCTAGAACCTCGAGAAAAGTAGCCAACATTTGTACGTTTCACAAAAAAATAGAAATTAGTTGGTCCAGTTTTGTGAAATCGCTGGTAGAAAGTCACGCCAGAACTGCTTGACAAAGTGGTCAATTGGCGTTGACGGCGATTCTGTAGCTCTTTACTGCTATGAGAAAATCCATAAGCAAACGTCAGACTGTGCGTGAAACATGGCGGACATTCTTTCACTACACCGAAAATTTACATTAGAAACTGTCTATTTTTTCTTCAAGAAAATATTTCGACGGTGCCATCAACGCCAATGAACGCTAAGATTCCTGTGAACTGGCAAACCAACCTGGACCCGAGAGAAATCGAGAAAGCCAAGGACTGTCAGAAGCAAGACTCCCCAAACGGTACTCTGGAGTGCAGAACGGACGCGATGTGGTTGGTCCTGTGCGTGTACAACACCCAAGAACGGGACATCAACTTGGACATTATGCGCATCCAGGGCTGTCGGTTCGTCTACAACAAACTGAGGAACGCGACTAAAGGTACGTTTAGACTGTCTGATTTGTTGGTCTGATTCGAGCGGACTGCTCGATAATTTTGTCGGATGCAATGTTCGAAAGCGTTCACACTTTTTCGACATGATGATTAGATTTGACGTTTGATTTAGTCGAACGTAAAAGGTTTGTGGACTCATTCAGCGAAATAGCCGTAAGTGAAATGAAAATATTGATCTTTTTCTTCTAAAATTTCAAGGATTTGATTTGTGTCTTGATGACATCTAGCAGCAAGGTAAACTAATTTCACTATTCAATGTGTATAATTTGGCTGATTTTTATTTTCCAGTGTGTTTGACCGTCAACAACTCAGTGTTTATACAATACGAAGTATGTTTCATATAAGAATAAGCATGCCAGACAGTAGGTCCGAGAGCCTACTAAGGCCGTTCGCAATGCTGAGTTTCAAAATTGTTTCAAGCTACTCGTCAATTCTATAATTTGAAACTGTCAAAAATAAAACTGCAACACGATCAGCGCAACGCACAGTTCTAAAACATGTTTGTAATCATCAAGTTCCATAAACTTTACTGTTCTCTATGAAGTTCTCCGTTTTTTTTTTTGTGGAGCTCTTCGAAACATCTTCAACACATCCAAAGAAATTTGAAACAGAGTTCCATTCGTGTTTCAAACTCGCTCAGAAATAAAACAGAATAGTCGAGCAGTTGCAAATCTGGTGCAAAATAGTGCTCGAATAATGAAACTGCAACTCAGCATTGCGAGAGGTGCGTTTCTGTTCTAGTTTCAAATTGAAACAGTCCTTATAAAATACAACAGCATTGCGAACGGCCTAAGACTGTGAACCATTTGCCGAGTTAAATTTAACTCGTGGTTAAAAGTGACATTTCGAAAGTTATTTTCTATGTTCGAAAATCCCCGTGCTGTCGATCGACCGGTTTTCGAGCCAAGGTTGTCAAAATTTAACTTCTTGTCTGTCAGAAATAAACACGCTCGGATAGCTTTCCATCTGTCAAATTTTAACCAAAAGTTAAAAAAAAATCCACCAAATGGTTCAGAGCCTAAGATTTTTTTAGAGCTTCAGAGAGATTTGGAGATCTACTGATAAATTTGTTGAGCTTCAGGGTAGATCTTGAGAACAGAACTACAAAAAGAAAATTTTACTGAAATTAAAAGAAATTTGCAGAAATTCAGAAAAATTCACAAGAGAGATCGTAGATCTTCAGAAAGAAATTTTCAAAACTTCAAGCAAGCTCAAATATTTTCAGATCATTTTGTAGAACTATTTGGGAAATTTTGGTAAATATTCACGGAACTTCGCAGTAGTTCACTGAATTTTTTGCATAACGATTCCATAAATCTCACTCGCTCTGGAAATTACATGCTTAATGTTCACCTTTATGTTCCAATGGTTACCCTACCTGCTAGAAAACCAGACGGTCGTGAATCCAATTCTAAACCAACCAAACCAAAAAAAAAACCTTTACCCTTTCCACGATGCTTGCCTTGTTCAATTGCATCCGGATGCTCAACTCAAACATAATCAATCAAAACCAAGTTCCTCTTCTCTTGCCATTCCCCTATCCCTGTGCCACTAGCTAACCATCAGCTTCTCTTCCGGTCCGAATTTGATTATTTCCTGTCCGCTTCCCATTCCCCCCTAATCTAGCTCGTGTCTACTGCGGCGGTATTGGTTTCATCTGCGGTGAACTGATTGACTGAGTTTGGATATATGCCCACGTACACGCATCTAATATGGGTTGTGTGTATGTGTGTTGTAAACTCTATTGTGTTGCACAATCTGACTGTTGTTCACATTATTTGACTTCACATTGGCCGGGGTGGGTTTCTTCTCAGATGAGTTAGTAGTTGCAGTTTAGTAGAAGTTAGTAATCGTTATTGGTAGTTTAGTATTTACTTGGTACACTCACTTCCGGGTGGCTGAATTCGTTCTTCTTGCCACACAATTCCGCATTTCTTGGTATCAATGGTCGCCGCCGACGCCGCCGTCTCTTACAGAACCGTTTCCATTTCGGCAATCTCCGTTGTGTACGTCCAGCGGTATAAATCCTGTGCACTGCCACCCAGACTCAGATTGCCGAGAACATTCGGCCGCTGGTGCATATTTTCCCGCCGGGCCGCTCCGACGATGTCGTTCGTCGATGCAATCCGTAGCTGCGGTGGCTTAATTCCGTGTGCGTCCAGTGCCTTCTCCAGCTGGGTGTTCCTCAGCTGGCTCATGTCCAGTTCGTGTTTCACCTTCCACAGGTGCGTATCGCAGATCGGATCACTGCAGCGGTGCCGTCGAAGGATTTCTGTTGCTTCGAAGACGGCTCCCCGGAAGGTCAGAGATTTGCCCATGGACAGTGAAATCAGAGCACAGCATCCACCGTGGTCCTTTTTCGCAAGCCGTTTGCGGAAGTACTTGAAGTAAAGGTGTTCCAGTAGCAGGAGCAAAGCGGCAAGCAGAATTCCGGCCATCAGTAACAGGAACGCCGACAAGAACTGTTCCAAGGCGAGCGGATCCGATGATTTGTGTTCCTGTTTCCCAGGACGACACGTTCCAGTCATCCAGTACCGGCGAAGTCGCTCCAGGTCTCCATTTGCACGAAACTCCAGTAGCCGTTTGTTGAACATTTGGACGTATTTAGAATTGCGGCTGAACGCCAGGCCATAACCGGTCATAGCGTACCACTGGCCTACGGTGAGCAACCGACAGTCTTCATCCTGTTGGACCAGGTAGTCCAACACCGTTCCATCGTAGATGAAAGCATCCATCTGCCCGTTCAGAACAGCTGCCACCCCATCCGCTACACTGGTCTTGTTGTACTGCATCATGTAGTAGTGCATCTCCTTGAAGTACTTGGAAATGGTCGAGTCCGTGTGGCTCCAAGGAATCGTCCCGAACTTGATGGTCGGTTTGTGCGAAAACGGCTGCGACAAACGGTTATCATCCAGACCAGTAAACTCGTGAAATTCCTCCCTGGTTATCATGAACGCCGCAAGGTTGGCAGTGTAGATAGCAAGAAACACTACAGCGAACATAGCCCACACATTGGTCATAAAGCGAGACGTGAAGCCACGTGGTGAATCCACGTGTACAGCAGCCTGGAACAGCACTGCCCACACCAACCAGTACGTCCGAAACAGTGAAAACCGATACGGAGTATTGTTCGCATTCTGCAGCACCGTTTTCATATCGTATCCACTCGGCGAAAGCCATTCAAACAGAAAGATCATAAACGTTGCTGCCTGGATGGCAAAGATCCCCACCAACATCCACGATGCCGTATCGAATGGCTCCAGGAACGCCGTTGGCGAAATGATTCCAGTCCTCTTCGCCACCACAATCGCAATTCCCGTCTCCATGAAAGGCTCACTGAAATCCACCACCGCTTCTCTTTCCGCGTTGATCATCAGCGAAGTCAACACCATGTCGGTCTTTCGGTTCACCAGCTCGTGAATCAATCCGTTCCATTTACCGTTCTCCAACGTTCCCCACTTGCCGTCTTCCACCCTTACAAGCTCGTACGTGAATCCTAATTCCTCTGCAAACTTCTCCAACAAATCGATACAGAAACCACTGCAACACTGGTAGAAGGACCCGTTCTTGTGCGCCTGGCCCATATCAATGTCCGTCATTTCGTGATCCGCCGCCACCCGACACAGCACTCCCCGGTCCATCAGACACTTTCCACTCACCGGATCTGCCGGCGATAGATTAATGTACGGTGCTTCCTCCAAAAACGTTATCTTCAGATGGAACTTCTCCGGCACGCCCTGCGGTGGCGTATGCGAATTTCCCGGCCATGCAATATCCCTAATATCGAGCTTCTGCGGTTGCCACGATTTCCACATTCCAATCTCTTCCCACACCAGCCCCTTACTGTTGACACTCGGCCGCAGGTTCATAATCTTCAGTTCTGCCCACTTCAAGTCCCCATCCGCCGTAAACTCAATGTTAGGCCTGTTCGGCTCACCTTCCAGCGAAACATTCCGCAAGTACTTGAAGAACAACTCCCCATTATCCCAGCGGCCTCTACCTTCATCTTCGCACGACAACTGATGCGTATCCAAACCCCGTCCAATGTTCTTCGGATCGCCCAGATAGTACTCGACCCCGTACGCGTACACCCGTATGGCGTTGGAGATCTCGTTCAGCAGTGCACTGGACGATGTGTCGAAGTGAACACCCAGCATGCCCATCGGGAACTGGGACGGGGCCTGCATGTTCTCGATGACACTCTGCGTCACTACCCAGACGTAATTCTCGCCTACGATGTTCAGGTCCTCAGCGGCCTTCAGGATGTCGACCGCTTCGTCCTTGGTGCAGTACAGGAGCATCACCCGGGCTTCACTGTTGACCAGCTCGACCAGATTGATCGGCCGGGACACGATGACCGAGTTCAGGATGGTGAATTTGAAGTGGTCCTGAAATGGAAAATGACTGTTATTCGCTGTTCGATAGCAGATATTCGATCATTGATTAAAGACGATCCGCATCATTCTCAAATTGCTCAATAAAAACGCTGTATATTGTCTATGTTTGGTCAATACTGGAATATTGCAGCATAGTTTGGTCAACTTATTCAATAACGTGTGAAGAACGTATAGAATCGGTACAAAAGCAATTCTTATTATTTGCACTTCATAAATTAGGTTGGACAAGATTACCTCTTCCATCTTATGAAGCACGGTGCATGCTCATCAACATTCAAACATTAAAACAGCGTTGTGAATTAGCAATGGTCTCATTTGTAAACGATATCGTTTCGCATCCTACTGATTCTGTAGAACTCTTATCAAAATTAAATGTGTATGTACCTTCTCGACAACTGCGCAATCGAAATATTTTGACGCAGGACTACGTCTTTCGGGAAGGGTGTCAATTCAGGGAAATGCAACGAAAATTGGCTAGACTTTGAATGCTAATAACTTGGCCAATAATCAATGGATTTTGATGATTTGTATGTCGATCGATTCACCAGTGTTTTAAGATTTATGTGGTAGCTCTAATGGCCTATGGATCAAAGATTGGGCCAATCGCTAAAAATCCGCTATTTAAATTTTTTTATCTAGATGAACGCGTCATTGGGACGGTACTAATGGATATTTTTGGTCGCTATTGAAAATTTAGTCGATTGCTGAATTTATGTTTGGGCCCAAATTAGGGGCATTTAGGCCGACATTACATCCATTTCCCCTATGTCACACATTATAATTGTTAAATATTCAATTAGTTAACAATGAAGAAATATAAAAAATATTCAAATTTCTCATACATTTTCTTCTACTGCATGGTGCTCACCTCTAACACAGCCATCAGAAAGTTGATCCCTAACGACAAAAGCCGAAGCCGCATAATCATTCAGCGTTGCACGTTGGACGGCTCAACCTCGGACTTGCTCGATGCAACGTGGACGTCGTAGCATTCCTAGCAGCTCAATACATACACCTCAAACCAATGAAAAACAACCAGACACAGAAAAAAAGGAGGGGCATAGAATGTTAATCTATATGCGAAACGTAGAAAGTTTGACTGCTCGGTCATTCGCTGCCAGACTGTTGAGTCTCGCTTCGTTCGTTTGATTGCGTTATTTCGTTTAGTCTAGCGTTGAGTAGTGACGCTCTTGCTGACCCAGCTATGGGTAAAAAAAATCGTGTGGTGGCGCGAATGCCGGCAATCTCGGTAAACGGTCTAGGCCTGAAGACAATAGTGACAGTGCGGTTTTCCGTTCTGAAAGACGGTGCAGAGCCGATGACGGTAACAACAGGACCGCCGAAAAAGGACAGAATACCACCCTTCTACGTGAAAGGCTTCCCTCCCGGACTGCGGGAAAAAATAAACTTCTACATCACGAAGGGCGTCCGGTGCACCATCCAGCTGTGCACGAAAGGATACAAATTGATGGTTCCTGCGTTGAACCATTACAACGCGGTTCAGACCATGCTGGACCAAGCACAGGTGGAGTACTTCTCCCACGCCATCGAGGCTGTTAAACCGCTCAAGGTGGTCCTACGAGGACTATACGACATGGACACAAGCGTCCTCTTGAAAGAGCTGGTATCAGTAATGGACTGAAGCCGGTCCAAATTCACAAGATGGCCCGCCACAACAAGGCCGTCAAGTACCGTGACCAGCTATACCTGGTCCACCTTGTGAAGAACTCAACAAGTCTGAAGGACCTACAGGGCATCCGCGTCCTGTTCAACATCATGGTGAAGTGGGAGCGGTACAAGCCAGTTAGCCGCGGAGTCACCCAATGCTCGAACTGCCTGCTGTTCGGACAAGGAACGAAGAATTGCCATATGGCCAGCCACTGCACCAAATGTGGGAAGCAACATCAAACCGATGCCAGCGACAGACTCGATGAAGCCGATCCCATTTGCGCCAACTGCGGTGCTGCTCACAAAGCTACAAGCAAGGCCTGCCCGAAGCGCACCGAGTACATCGAGATCCGGAAGAAAGCATCGACGAGAAACCAGCCCGGCCGCAAGAAAGTTCCGGAATCTAATGACCAGAACTTATCACCGGTACCACGACGACCGATTACAGTGCTTCCCACTCAATCAACGATTGGCTGCTGCTTGTGCCGCTGCTACTGCTGCGGTGGCCAAGAGACGTCAAAAGACGACTGCTGCTCCACAGCCCCTGGGCTAAACTGGCGTCAGAATGGACCGTCCCTACCGCAGCCAGAAATCAACGATGGTTCGTGGTTCACCGCAACGGAACTAATAATCATCTTCCTCAAGATGCACGACATTGCCAACACCATCAAGAACAAATCCGATCAGCTCCAAGCTGTGGCTACCTTTATGCTCAGTTATGGACCGTGAGCTCATCAAAATCGCAACCTGGAACGCTTGCTCGCTCAAGAGCAAAATTAACGAGTTAGTTGGCTTCCTCAACGAACATAGCATCGACATCGCCATCATCACCGAAACTCACCTGAAACCGAATCAAGTTCTGGGGGTGTTGGAGTGGCCATCGCTACTAGGCAGAACATCTGCTGCCGGCTGCTACCCAGTTTTCAGCTGAAAATGATTGAAGCATTGGGAGTGGAAGTATCCACACCCGTCGGCCCCGTCACCATCATCAGCCCGAAACAAACCAACCCCATGGGATCGATCCGCGGCAGACCTGCGGAGGGATATTATCAAGATAACACGACGCCGTGGAAAGCAACCAAAGGCGGAATCAGGACGGCACCATCCTAAACGACGACCTGCAAGAGGCCCAGTACACCATCCTGGCGCCGGACGCTCCCACCCGGTTGAGCCGGTTCGGCGTGCACTCCATCAAGATGTCGGTGATGGAGCAGCAATATGGAGAACATCTCCCAACCAGTAGCCCACCAAGAGTTAAGCTCGGACCACTTTCCGGTGCTGGCCGAGAGGGGCTCCTCCGTTAATTGATTTCATGCTTCCCGTCGGAATTACCATCGGGTATGCTGGGATCGGTTCCAACAAGTCGTCGACGAAGCCATTGGTTTCGGTGCCCTCCTAGAGACGACTGATGACATCGATAGATCTCTGTGCGCCGCGCCGTCGAGGAGGCGGTATCCCGAGCCCGCGAACAACACGTGCCAGCTTCCAGACGGGTGAGTAATTCTCTGAACGTTGAACAGAATACTAAAAGCCTAATCAGACTCCGTAACGCCATGCGCAGGCAGTACCAGAGAACTGGACTGCTTACCTTGAAGACCCATTTCAACCGTCTAACCAAACTTATCAAAGCCAAAATGGTGGAACTCAGAAATGAGAATTTTTCCAATAACATCCGTCCCCTCCCAGATTATGCAAAAGTCCTCAAAACTAAACCGAGATCTATTCCACCGCTGGTTCCACTGAATTGTCCCGACGTTCCTGATAACACCTGAAAAGAAGGCTGCCGCGATAGGTCAACATTTCGTCAACTCCCACAATCTCGGACAAAACATCACCAGCCCTCACGAAGCTGAGGTTGCTGAAAATGTAACGAATCTCCACCAGCTTCCTAACATTTTTCCAGAGGAATCCGAGATCACAGCTGACGAACTGTTGGCTTATATCAAAACTTCCAAAAACATGAAGGCCTCAGGTTTCGACAACATCCTGAATATGGAGCTCAAGCACTTGAATTCCAGATTCTACAACCATCTGGCACTGATTTTCAATCAGTGCCTCCGACTTAGTTAGCCAAAATCATTCCCATCCGGAAACCTGGGAAGGATCCTTCCTCTCCTTCAAGTTACCGACCCATCAGGCTTCTCTCAGGGTTATCCAAGCTGTTCGAAAAGGCAGTTTACAGCCGGCTTCTAACATATGCGGAAGAAAACAACATCTTACTCGAGGAACAGTTTGGTTTTCGAAAAGGTCGATCAACCGTCCACCAACTGACCCGAGTAACAAACATTCTTAGACGGAACAAGACTGTTTCAAAAGCATCTGGCATTGTTAGACGTTGAAAAAGTGTTTGACAATGTCTGGCATGATGGCCTGGTGTACAAGTTGCATCGATACGGTCTTCCGATCTTCCTCATGAAGATCATACAAAATTATCTATCGGACAGGTCTTTCCAGGTCTCTCTGAATGGCATCACATCGGATGCCTTTATCATCGGTGCAGGTGTGCCCCAAGGAAGTATCCTTGGGTCCATCCTGTTCAATCTATTCACCTCCGATATTCCGGCTCTCCCTGATGGTGGATCGTTGTCTCTGTTTGCAGACGACACATCCATCGGCTACAAGGGTAGAGTAATCGGAGCTCTCACTAGCAAACTCCAGAGAGGCTTGGATGTCCTATCTGAGTATTTCAACAGCTGGAAGATCCGTATCAACGTGGCGAAGACCCAGGTCATAATTTTTCCACACTTGTTCCGTCTGAGAATGACAAAATCTGCCTAAGCGGCACAGTGGTGGAGTGGTCCAAAGAGGTAGTCTACCTCGGCCTAACACTCGACAGCAAGCTGATTTTCAGGGAGCATGTTGACAAAACACAAACAAAATGCAACATCTTGATAAGGTCGTTGTACCCGCTAATCAATAAGAGATCCACCCTATCCCCGAAAAACAAGCTTGCTGTCTACAAGCAAATAATCCTTCCCGTCATAGAGTACGGGTTGCCAATCTGGGAGAGTTACGTACATTCTCATCAAACTACAAAGGATCCAGAACAAGATCCTGAGGATGATCCTCAACAGTCCACCGCGTACTAGAAATTCTGAGGTCCACCGCCTGGCTGGTCTTCAGACCTTGGCGTTACGGAGAACTGCTACCATCGAAAGGTTCAGAGATAGATTGCTGCATGCGATCCGATCAACAGATCATTAGGGTTCTGGCACGATAGGTTGGGCAACTAGGGTAACTAGGTAGAATATCAAACTTTCTAATTAAATCAACAAATATGCTTTCCTTAAAAGACAAATGTAAACTATTACAATGTAAGACTA